AAATAAGAAGACATAAGTTAAAAACCGGAAAAAATTTAAAGTATCTAACTCACCCCCCCCCCCCCCCCCCTCCCTCTTATGTGCAAATTCTACTTACACGGAGAATGTAAGTGATATGTTAACCAAGCCAACCATCGGTGACAAGTTCAGGAATTTCTTTGACTTACATGTTTCTCACTGTTAAGAAAGAATGTATCTCCTCAGTTTCTAGGATGAATCGTCATGCATGAAATCTTCATCGGAGTTTGATATTCACCAAGGTGAAGATTGTTGAGTATGCCTCATATTGTTGAGATAATTATGGGTTATTGTGAGTATAACTCATATTATTGAGATAATTATGGGTAAAGATAATTGTTTATGGAGAGAGATATGGGATTAGGAATATATATATATATATATATATATATATATATATATATATATATATATATATATATATATATATATATATATATATATATATATATATATATATATATATATATATATATATATATATATATATATATATATATATATATATATATATATGTATGTGTGTGTGTGTGTGTGTGTGTGTGTTTATATATATATATATATATATATATATATATATATATATATATATATATATATATATATATATATATATATATATATATATATATATATATATATATATATATATATATATATATATATATATATATATATATATATATATATATATATATATATATATATATATATATATATATATATATATATATATATATATATATATATATATATATATATATATATATATATATATATATATATATATATATATATATATATATATATATATATATATATATATATATATATATGGCTTGTAACACTATAATCCAATCAATTCATAAGACTTAAATAAAGAGAACTATAATTACTCTATAGTCGCAGAGATAAACAACATTGTCTGAATCAGTGGCGGAGCCAGAAAGTTTTTGAAGCCTGGGCAAAAATTTAAAGACAATAAATTCATATTGTATATATAAATAGTTATTAATCAAAATAAAAGATTTTTAATTTAATTGATTTCGGCAGAATTTTAAAACTAACATAGCCATATCCAATTTGAGGTTGATTCTAACATGGAATATCATTTCATGTGATTCATAATAATTCTTGAAATTAGCAACAAGTTAACAACATAATTTTATTTACTAACTACTGTAACTACAAACTAAATTTAAAATACAAATTCCTAGTTAACATCAATTGAACCATATAATTTAGAGTGAACATAAATTGAAGAATTGGACCTAATATATTTTTTATATTATTTGAGGATAAAATTTATTCTTTTCTTCTTCTTTTTTACAACACTATACATGTTTTTTTTATAATTTTAGTAGCTGCTACTTTTATCTTAAATTTTATTTTTCAAGTATTCATTTTTTAGTTTTTGGTTAATTTGGTCATAAATAGCAACTTTATTTTAATTTTGCACTTTTTGTAATGTAGTTGAATCTAAATATTATCATATAAAAAAATTAATATAATGTATGTTTAATTGCATAAAAAAGGAAAAAAAAATTATGTTTTATTTGTGAAAATTGTTTAAATTACGGCGGTTAAAACTGTCATTATCAACGACAAAAAACCGCCTTTTAATTTAATATATATTATGACATGAAAAATTTTATTCAAAAGTACTATTTTTCTGCATTTTCGTTAATTGTGGCGGTTTTAACCGCCATAACAGCACTTATTAACCGCCACAATTTTCATATTCTTTTATAAAAGAAGGCAAAATTTTGGGGCCGAGCCCGGGCACATGCCCAGCCTGGACGGGCCTTAAAACTGCCCATGGTACGAATTGCATTAACAAAAATAGATTGTGTCTATTGTCGTTTACTTTCGTTTATCTTTAATTTTCTATACTAGTTATTGTTCTAAAGATTGGTATCAGATGTCCATTAACTCTGGTATGAAATTTAAAGTAACAAGGTTCGACGGAACGAGTAATTTCATATTTTGGCAAAGGAGGGTTAAACTCATCAAAGTTTACAGAAGGCGATTGAGAGACAAAACTAAATTAAATGGAGGATACCGATTGGACAGAGATGAAGGAGAATGATGCATGATTAATTCGTCAATGTGTTTCAGACGAGGTGATGTATTATATCCTGGACCGTACGATTCCGAAAGAGGTTTGGGAAAAATTGAAGAGTTAATATATGTCAAAGACGGTGATGAATAATTGTCCATAAAGCATCAACTTAACAGCCTGAAGATGCAAGAAGGATCTAATTTGTAATAACATATCAATTTATTCAACAACATAATCACTAATCTAGTGAGGCTTAGAGTGAAGATTAATTACAAAGATAAGAAAATTATCTTGCGTTGTTCGTTACCAGGTTATTATGACCACTTGGTGAATACTCTTACCTACGAAAGACACTATCAGTCTTGATGTGATTACTGGTACACTTTTGTCTAATTATCAAAGGAGATAAAGTATAGAGGAAGGAACTCAAGGTAACTGTCTGTATGTGAAAGGGGGTCAAGATTGTGGGCAGGACAAGGGTAATGGAGGTTATGAAAAGAAGAGGTTTAAATCTAAGAATTGAATAACAATTAAGTGTTATAGTTGCAAACCAATTGGGCCTTGAAAGATTGTCCAAATAGAAAGTATGGTTCATCTCGTTCTGCAAATGTGGTTCAAACTGATGGTTCTGGCATTATAGCAAATATATTGTGGGTTTCATCAAACAAGTGCATAAATGCGTGGATTCTTGATTCTAATTGTTCTTACCATATGAAGCCTCATCGAAAATGGTTAAATACATTCAAGTCATGTAATTTTTATTTGTTTTATCCTTCACTTGTGAGCCTCTGTATAAGTCGATCCAATATAGAAATTGTTAGCACTCAGTGAAATTCAAATCTAAAATTTTAAGAAGAACAAAGTTTCACAAGTCTCGAATCTTCACCAATAAACAATTCATAAATATTTAGTCGGCTAAACTTAATTTAAATTTTTTTAAAAAAATGATATTAAACAATTTATTATGAGTTCAAATCTAAACTTTCACTTATATTTGTAATTTTTTTGCGCTTATTTTGAAGAAAAAAAAGGCAAGTTTAGGTTGACACTTGCAATGAATTTTTTTTAGAAAGGCTTGGTGTTTTGAATAAAAATTTTCAAAGTGATAAAAAAAATTAATAAAAAGAAGATGAATTTTTTTTTTAAATCATAATTATTATTTATTAAAACAACTTTTCGCAATACTCAAATCTTCTGATAATAATATCAAAACACTTTGATCTTTAGGTTGATCCATCCATTAAACAACTTCATTATTATTCATTAGCATTTTCAATTAAAATATATATATGCATAGATTTTATTTTAATTTAATTGGAAGTATAGATTTTATTCAAAACGTAAAATAGATTTTAATTTCATATTTATTACAACCCATCAGACCCCGATTCTGTTTTTGTTGGATTTATTTGCATTCATTTTGATTCAACCACCAAACATAAATTTTTTTGGACGACATCAATCAATGCATTTTGGTTAAAACAAATATTACAAACTCAATACATGCATTTTTTTTTACATGTTACTATTTCATATCATTTTATAAAATGAATAAAGAAAAAGTTCTAGAAAAAGCAAAGTGCGGTAGAGCCGAAATAGGAGCGTCATGCTTACGTGTCTTTTTCTTATAAAAAAATAGAAATATGCAATCTTAGGTAAATAAAATCAGGTACATACCAATTATTCTAATAAGTACAATTATTGGAAATGATATAAAAGCAAGAAGAATTAAAAAGAAAGACCATACTTTAGAAGAAAATAGTATCTGAAAAAATTAATTTTAATATTTTATTAATTCTAAAATTCTATGAATTCCTAATTTATAAAAAGAAAATTCTTTAAACTTATTGCAAAAAAACAAAAACCCAATAATATATATATATATATATATATATATATATATATATATATATATATATATATATATATATATATATATATATATATATATATATATATATATATATATATATATATATTCACGATTCAATGAATTATTCTCAACAATTACACATAAATAATATTTAATTTATATAAAAAATATAGTAATGATTATATAATTATTTTTCTTATAAAAAAATAAATAACAATATTAATATTTAAATTCATGAGAAGGCATCAATATAATCTTTAAAATATTTAATTCATATACTTGTTTAATTTTTACGCTCTCAGTAAATTATAACTATTAAATTATTAAATATTTTATAACTCAATGTGATATGTTTATTGTATAAAAAATTTACACCGACAATATATTTTATTTATATTTATATGTACCATTTTACTAATAATTTTATAGATTAATTGACTAGAAATATATTAAAAATTTAAATTGATTATTTAAAATAAATTTGATGACCAAAAGAATTAATATAATATATATACATACAAATGTATTTGCATTTTAATATATTTTTAAATTTTTAAATTATATTAAAAACACTAATTTTGACCGAAAATAAATAAAATGAGATACACAATATACCTTTCTCCATTTCCTTTTATCACATGCCAGCCATGTTACCGTTGTTGTGACAAATAAAAAAAGATAAATAAATACAAAGTTCTTTTTTTTCCAACGAGAGTCAATGATCCAACGGTCATAAACTACTAGCCGTTAACTTTTTTTTAGTTTTTTTTTAAACAAATACCCATTTTTTGTCTCCGCACAGACAAATACCCGTTTTTCGCGTTTCTGCAAGAGTCTCTCTTTTTTCTTCTTCATATCTTTGTAGCTGCTAGTGTCACTGCTAGTGGTTACGCAAAAAAAAATCTTCTTTTTTTCTGGGTTTGGGTTCTTTGAGGGTTCTTGAATTGAATTGATTCTTGGGTTTTCATTTTTTTTTCTGGGTGTGATTTGTTTTTTTACGATATTAATAACCAATTAAAATTTAAAGAAACGAAAAACGATAACAAGATGGTTATTTCTTCTGATGAGAACAAGTCCAACGCAGTCGTGCCCAGGAATTGTCAAGGTACATTGTTGAAATTGTAAAGATTTGAGATTTGAAATTGGGTTTTGTGTGAAGTTAAAGATTTGAAATGGTGTTTTGAAAGTTTTAATCTTTTTTTTGGATTTTAGGTGGTGGAAGGATTGGTGGGCAGAATAGAAGAACTTTGAGTGTGATCAATCAGAATCTTGTGCAGGGGAGACCTTACCCTTGTGTTGTTAACAAGAGGGCGTTGGTTTCTGAGTAATTCTCTTTTTCTGATTTGTTTTGTTCTAGATTTTTTTATGATTTTAGTTTTTGATTTCTTTAAGGTTAATTGTCTTGTTTTCATTTTTGTGTTTTTTTTTTCAGTAAACATGAGATTTGTGAAAAGAAACAGGCTGATCTGGGACATCGACCCATCACAAGGTGGGGATTATGGATTTATTGATGTGATTTTCATTTATTTTCTTTTTGTTGTTGGGAAATTTCTGATCAAAATTGTTGTGAAAATTTGAAAGTTAATGTCAATGAAAAATTATGCTGTTTACAATTTCAAACGTGTAGATTGGTACTGATTTGAATATGGGGTGTGATTTTTCATTTTGTTTTCATCTTGTTGTTAGGAAATATGAGATTGAATTTGCTGTAAAATTTCGGAATTAAATGTCATGAAATGAAATTATGTTGTTTTTAATTTCGAACTTGTATATTGATGCTGATTTTTTTGTAGTGTGTATCAAAATGGAATGTGATTGAAATTGCTGTGAAAATTTTGAAATTTTAAATGTCATGAAATGGAACTTTATTGTGAAATTAAGATTATGAGAAATGGGGAAAGAAATAATGACTGTGCTTTCATATCTTGCAACCATGATTTATGTAACAAAATGAAGAATTAATGAAACTTTATGTTAATGTATTGTTAATCAGGAGGTTTGCTGCAAAAATTGCTGGTTCACAGCAGCAATCTCATGCTGAGGTAATTTCTCTTTCGTATTTTTGATATCGATGCAAATATATTGTTCGTTCTTACTAAATCTAAATGGTGATTTCAAATTTGAATAGAAACCTAAGAATTCAAATCCATTGAATTCAAAACCCAATGTGTTTGGAAAAGCCATAGCTGTTGACGATGATCACAAGACACCACGAGACCAACCTGTGCCTATGAGTTTAGAGCAAACTGAACCAATGCATGGTGATCCTCATGAGATGGTATTCTTTTATTCATTATTAAGTCTGTGTTTTTTCTTCTGTTTAATCGGTTTCAATGTTTGATTTCGCTTCTTGTACTATGATTTAGGAAGAGGTAGAGATGGAGGATATCGATGGAGAGGGGGTTTTGGACATTGATGGATGTGATGCAAATAATGCTCTTGCTGTTGTGGAATATATTGAAGATCTTCATTCTTACTACAGAAAAATTGAGGTACCTTTTATACAAATAGTGCTTTTTCGCAACAGTTATTGTTGAATAATGCACAACATAATTTGTATTCGAGTTGTGTGTTAATTGTAGTCTGTGGATCGATGAGTCCATTATATGCTGTGCCTTCCACTTATGCATATTTCAACATTGATTTTAATATGATCATGCAGATCTGTCGTGTGGTTTTGTATATTATGCTTATGCAAATTCCAACCCTGATTTGATTCGATCTATGATCGTGTAAATCACACTTAGATTTTTACTTAAGCTGATAACTATGAAAATCTAACATCGTGTGTGTTGGATTTTTACCATCCTTTGCTCCGTATATCTCATACTTCTGTCTTATGCAATAAGTTATAGAAAGGTGAAATGTATAGAACATGTAGCATAAGTTGTATTGAAAAAAGCATATGTGTATCGAACTTCTTTCTGATCAGATCAAAATTGATTGCAAAATGACCGACATTTTCTTCCTGCAGTGCATTGGCTGTGTTTCACCAAACTATATGGAAGACCAAGGTGACCTTAATGAGAGGATGAGGGCTATACTAGTTGACTGGCTTATTGAGGTACTGCAAATATTCCTACTTTCGAATGATTGATTTCGGTTTCATTTGATATATCCGGCTTAAATATTCATATTCGATTGTTTGGTTTTGTCAGGTGCATGACAAATTCGACCTCATGCAAGAGACATTGTTTCTTACAATTAATCTCATAGACAGATTCTTGGCAAAGCAAAACATCGTAAGAAAGAAACTTCAGCTAGTTGGTCTGGTTGCCATGCTTTTGGCATGCAAATATGAGGAAGTTTCCGTTCCAGTCGTTTCGGATCTAATCCATATCTCTGACAAAGCTTACTCAAGGAAGGAACTTCTCCAAATGGTAACAGTTTTTCTTTCAATCTCGTAATAACTTTTTCCGTTTGTTTGATCCACGCAATTCAATATAGCTAATTGTCGAGATTTCTTTCCAAACACCGCAGGAGAAGCTGATGCTCAACACGCTGCAGTATAACATGTCTATACCAACTGCATATGTTTTCATGAGACGGTTTCTCAAGGCTGCTCAAGCTAACAAAAAAGTCGGTACTCATATTTCTCCCAAACATTTCCATCGGGTTTAATTAACCGTATTTCATACTCATTTTTTTGACTCTTTTATGGAACAGCTTGAGATGGTAGCTTTTTTCTTGGTAGAGCTATCTCTGGTGGATTATGGGATGCTGAAGTTTCCACCATCCTTGGTGGCTGCTGCTGCAGTCTACACGGCTCAATGCACTGTCAGCGGTTTCAAACACTGGAACAAAACCTGTGAATGGCACACCGACTACTCAGAAGATCAGCTATCGTAAGCATCGTCTTTTCAATTATTTTCAATTATCCTCTATATGCGAATAAATACGCCACTGATATCGTCTATGTAACTTTTGACTTGTAGAGAGTGCGCTAAGATGATGGTTGGGTTACACCAGAAAGCTGGAACAGGAAAGCTTACCGGAGTGCATAGAAAGTACTGCGCGGCGAAATTTAGCTTCACTGCGAAATGTGAACCAGCTTGTTTTCTTCTTGAGAATAACCAGTCATAGGAGGAGCCATAGCATACCTTTTGTGTTTTGTGATTTCCGGGGTTAAGAATGGAGCATATAGAGTGCAACTTTGGTTGCTCTCTGATGTTAAGTTACTTCATTTATTTTTTGGTTATTTTGTTTTCTTTGAACATAATAATAATGGGATATAGCCACAGTTACATTTTGTTGCTGTATCATTCTCATTTTCATTTGATACATTAATAGTTTTAAGTTGTGAAAATGCAACTTCACATTTTTATCATTGTTATGAACTGTGATTGATTGGAATAGTGAACCATTTTGGAATGTATCAGTGTTTTTTTATACCGTTGGTTTAGTTTTTTAAATTTCAAATTTTTAACCTGTAGTAATAATTTTGATTCATTATTGAGGCACTTTTTGTCGCATTTGGAACTTTGCAATGGCATCATCTATGCTAATATCAATATGTTGTGGATAATTTAGTTATTCATTCATTGTGTTCAGTGACCTTTGTGTTTCTTTGAATATGTGAAGCGTGAATACTTCAAAATCGATGCGGAATCGTATCTGATACATAATGTTACGCCATTATGCTTTTAAATAACAATTAAATATATACATTTTAATATAAAATTAGTTGTTGGTATATTCAAAATTAGAGATGTCTATGGATTGGGTATACTCAATGAATAAAGTAAATCCACTCAAATTATCTGAACACGGTTTTTAAAATTGAAAAACTATTCAAAATAATTGAGTTCTACAAAATTTATGGGTTATTGAGGAATTATTTTTTTATAATTTAATAAGGATGACTTTGATATCTTTAATTTAATTATAACATTTTGAACCTATTTTATTTTGTAAGTAATTTTTTTAAACTTGTTTAAGATGTCCCACTTTGATTATTATGAAGTTAATTCTCGTAAATTACAAATATTTTATGCAATTTTAGATATACTGTAATGTAACTTTGATTTTTCAAATATATTTATAATAATTATGCATTTATATTAAAAAAATAACAGAAATAAGTTAAACTATTTATTAAGAAAAAAATGCAAATAATAAGAAAGAAAATAAAGGTTTTTTTTTGGGTAATCCACTGTCCAATTCAATTCAACCCACAAATTTGTAGTTTTACCCAAACCGATTCAATGATGTCATGGGTGGTTATTTTTGTTGGGTCATCATGAGGAGCATCCACATTGGGTCAAGAGAAACATACAAGTGAGAGAGACACCGCATATTCCCTTAAAATGAAATGATCAGTTGGAGGGTAGAATTGGAATCCACAAATGTAGTTGTATCCTTGCATAACAGTTTGTGAAAATGGGAGACACGATAGTACAATAGTACAATCCTTTCCTCATAAAATCAATGTAGTGGAAAGAATATTTGATCTTATACTGTGTACTATTTTCTCACGTAAAATCTTTTTGATCTTAGCTTCAAATATTCAAGGGCTTCAGATAGAGAGTTGATGAAGCAAGCATAGAAGAAGATTCAGAGTTTGTATCAGAGAGTCTTCAGAAAACTTGGTCTTTAAAGTCTTGATCCAGCTCATTAGAACTCGGTCTTTAGAGTCTGGTGGCACAACTTATCAGAGGTATTGAGTGCAATACTTCAGAGCTTGAGAACATAAAAGGCTTATCTTCTCAAAGTCATAAAGCTTTGGATGATTAATGTTCAAAAGCATTGAGTAGAGTGGTCCAGAGCTTGATTATCTTGTAGAACACACTTCTCAGAGTCAGAGTGCACTAGGTTCAGAAACTAATTATGTCACATGTCACTTCTTCAGAGTCAGAACTTACATCTAGTATCAGCACACTTAATAAAATCATTAGGGTACAAAATTGTTCTCTATGAATCAATGTATTGTTATCACCAAAACATAAGGTCAGATGTAGAATCAAATCTTGTTCTTACATAGTTGTTTGACTTCACTCCATCTAATCTACTCTCCTTACCACATGATCTACAAGTCTTCTCTCTACATGCCCAAACCAACTAATTATATTTTCCACCTTCTTTTTTTACTATAGGTGTTACTTCAACACTCTCTTTAATATTCTCATATATAATCATAATGCAACATCCTCATCATTGTCCCACTTACTTTATTCGTGTGTTGATTCTTAACCGCCCAACATTTTGTCTCGTACAACATCACATATATTATTGTAGTATTTTCCCTTCAACTTAAATGGTACCGGTAACACTATATATCCCTGACTCAGTATGTAATAAAATAATTCAATATAACTCAATAAATAGAGTGTCATGCATGCTTCACCATATCATAAAAGAACCACAAATAAAACTTTAAAAAATAAGCAGCGGAGAACCAATAAGTTTAGCATATAATACTCAACGACAATAAATGAGAAAGTGGTTCGACAACCCTCAAAAGAAATAAGACATGCAATCAAAGAAAGCATAGAACAATCTATTCCCCATTATTACATATCAGAGCGACTCTACTAAGACGTAAGACCCGAACGGTAAATAACTAAAAAGGAACAACGCCATTCTCTATCATCAAACATTTATTCTTGTACCTGATCGTATGTACCACAAAGGAGCACAGACGCAAAAACAAACGGAAAGGGGTGAGAATACACTCAAATAATCAATGTTGCAAAACATAGCACAAGTAGTAACACATATTATAATCAACAACAGTTAACTACTGTTGATATTTGTAAATATATATATATATATATATAGTGTTAAGAATATTTGTATATAGAATAGTCCCACATCGACTATATCATGTAATTAGTTGTAATCTATTTATATATAATAATATCTCCGTAGTGCTTTTCAAAACACACGGTTTATTCATGTCTCTTAGTCTCTTGTATTTCAACATGGTATCTAGAACCTACTAAGAGGCAATTCTTTCTTCGCCGTATTTTACCCGGTTGACCTACTGTCTTCCGGTGAGGAATTTTTTTGGCAAACCGTGTTGTCACTCCGGCTTGCCTCTCACTTTTCAAAGTTCTCCCGTAACCGTCTTGCCGCCGTTACAATTTCGGCAAAACTTTCGACGACGTTTCGAAAAACCGATTAGGTCGTTATCCTCCGATCCGGTCGTCGTCCTTTTTTCCGTTTTTTCCGCTGCTGCCCCAGGGCCCTTTATTCCCGTTGCTGCCCCGGCGGCTGATTTCGACCGTTTTTCTGCCGATCTACTCGTCTCTCCTCACCCATTCCAGATCCGGCCTCTGTTTTACTTTCTGACTCAGAGGACCGATTTCACTCTGTTTGTCATTAAGCTATGGGAGACGCTGATTCTGTCTCGTTTACTAAAGTTTCTCTTATCCCATGTGAAAAACTCACCGGATCAGCAAACTATAACATATGGGCTCGTGTTGTCAATATGTGGTTTCGTGGTCAGGGATATGAAGATCACCTAACCACACAATTGACTAATGTTGCCTCCGACAAACTTACTAAATGGAAGAAAACAGATGCCTATCTCCTTGTCGTGTTATGGTTCTCCATAGCACCTAACCTCCAAGCGCAGTATCAAGCCTTCTCCACTTGCTATGAAGTTTGGGAAAAGGCCAAGAAAGTCTTCTCCAACGACGTTCATTGTCTATACAGTGTCATCCTCAAACTCGACACACTAAAGATGGAAAATATAGATATGCAAACCTATCTGAGTAAGCTTGATGCCTTGAAAGCAAGTTACACAAACCTCATGCCGTACGCAAAAGACGCAACAGCTCATGCCGAACAACAGAGTAAATTTTTCATGGTCATGGCCCTTAAAGGACTACCATCCGAACTCGACGCCGTTCGTAACCAGATTTTATCAGGTACTACTGTTCCTAACTATGATGCAGTTAGTGAACAACTGTTGCGCTTGACTACACCTCATGCGTTTGGTCCGATTTCCCCTCCATCTATTGTTGCTCCAACACCAGGTGACATTGTTGCCCTCGCATCTCTTGGCAACAATCAGAATCGCCCTCGAGGAGGGTCATCTAACTCCAAACCTCGTCCCAAATGTAACCATTGTAACCGGCTTGGACATACTATCGACCGTTGTTGGAAGCTACACGGCAAACCCCCAAGCCAGGTAAATACAGCTCAAAGTGATAACTCAGAAACTATGCAGACTTCACCTTCTATTCAGAACCCTACGCCAAGCTACGAAGATTTCTCAGGTGGTGTCAGACTAATCAGATCTCTGGTTCCACTGCTTCGGTTGCACACACTGGTAATTCATCTGTTTGCTTCTCTCAATCATCTCCTCTTGGTCCTTGGGTCCTTGATTCTGGTGCGTCTGATCATGTTACTGGTAATAAAGGTCTTTTTTCTTCCCTCTCTACCTCTGGTTTCTTGCTTATTATAACTGCCGCAAATGGTTCTCAAACCCGATCCCAAGGGATTGGTACTGTTCAAATTTTACCATCTCTCTTTCTTACTTCTGTCCTTTATGTACCTAATTGCCCATTTAATTTACTGTCAGTCAGTCGTTTAACTCGTTCCCTTAATTGTTCTATCACCTTTAGTGACAGTAATGTTACTCTGCAGGATCGGAGTTCGGGACAGACGATTGGCGTCGGATGTGAGTCTCAAGGCCTCTACTACTTCTCTACATCATCTACCACATGCTCCACCATAGATTCTCCACTCATTATACATGCGCAGTTAGGTCATCCAGGTCTTCCCAAGCTACAAAAGTTGGTGCCCAGTTTATCTAAATTATCCACTTTACATTGTGAGTCTTGTCAGTTAGGGAAACATACTCGTAGTCACTTTTCTGATCGAGTCAATAAACGGGTTGTGTCCCCTTTTGCTTTAGTTTACTCCGATGTTTGGGGTCTCTCACGTACCGTGTCTACTTTTGAGTCTAGGTATTTTGTAACCTTTATTGATGATTTTTCACGTTGCACATGGCTATTTTTAATGAAGAACAGGTCTGAATTGTTTTTTATTTTTGAACAATTTTTTCGAGAAATAAGAACCCAATTTGGTTTATCTATTCGTACCCTAAGAAGTGACAATGCACGCGAATATTTATC